ACAGCAATGGAACGAAAGAGCGCCAATGAGATTTACATCATCGCATTTTTAGGCATGCTGAGCATTGCAAATTGTTGGCTGCTGTTTGCTAAGCTTTAAAAAATTTTTTTTTTTTAATAGACACAGTAATGCAAATTCAGCGAGTATTAAGCAAAATCCACTTAGTACTTTTGGAGAAAATTCATTTAAAAGCGTATCGTCTAAATAATCTATATATATAAAACTGGGTGTCAAAATAAAGGGCTTGGCCTGTAGAAGTGCAATAGGGGTTTATTTTTTCGAAAAGAGTTGCCACCTTTTAAAAAACGAATTCAAGTTATTTAAAATAATAAATCAACTATTCGTATGTGGGTATCAATCGAAATGGCTTTGAAAGGCTTCATATGATAACTAAATATAAGAGGGTTGCCACCTTTATTTAACATAAATTTCAATTAGAATTGAGGTAATTAAAATACGTATCACCCTGTGGGTGCCAGACGGAACAGGTTTAAAAAGGTGGTATTGAAAATATTTTTCAAAGGGTTGCCACCTCTTTTAAGAGTCGAATTTAGTCAACTTATACACACGTTATATGATATATTAAAATACGGGTGTCAAACAAACGAGTGATAAGAAATTTTTAGTTTGGATATATAGCATATAATTTCGGTCTTATCAACGATCTCTGAGGGATGAATGGACGTTAACGAAAATTTCGCCAATGTAACTAAGTACTTTCTGGTATTGAAGCCCATTATTCTGGAATCTTGTAAATTAAAAAATTTATTTCGATATTTTTTTTTAAAGTAGTCTTGTAAGAATAACATCCCTGCAAACCAAAGTTCCCGAAATCTTAAGGAGTATCTAATTTATGTGAAGATTTTTTTACGATTCTTCAAAGAAAATTGTATGAAGTGGTTGACACGAACTCGTAAAGAAATTTTTGTACGAAAATTCTGAAAAAAATCTGTAAGAAATTCTTCACATAGCAGTATTATTTTCATTGCTTTACCGCTGTTATTTCATTTTAGAAACTTTGGCAAAAAGTCGGATGAGATCTTTAAGAACTCTTTAAAATTTCTCTACAATTCAGAATACTCTGAAAAAATGGATTGCAGGGACGGCATACATATTTTTTTCCAAAGTAAATAAATGTATGCTCAATAGCAGTGATTATAACTGCACATGCCCTGCCCCCTCTATGTCGAAGGTGTTTGATTGATGCGTGATTACTCTTTAAGCCGCCGCATCTCCTCTTTTTTGCGGTTATTGTACCTGTAATGTTGCAAGTGCAAAACCACTAGCAGGCAGCTTAGTTACTTATGTTTACGTTTTTCTTGCTACAAGCGCTATTGTTGGATGCGCAAATTCACAATTCGCAGCGGTAACGCATTGTCTACACAGCTCCCCACTGCAGCTACCATCAATAGGAGTGGGACTAGTGGATTCAATGTGAATCTGAAACTTGTTTGCTTATTTTCACAGCTTTTTAAATTTATGCATATCTACATGTATATGAATATGCGTTTGTCTTCTGCTAGCTTTGATGTTGTTTTCTTTATTTTTTTTTGCATAAACCTCTGGCAGTTATTGCATAACATGCAACTGCGCATCCCCTCTATGCGCCTGCCGGCAGTCAAAGTGCGCATTTTGCTCACGATTTTGTTTTGTTTAGCCTTTCTTGTTTACACACGCACATATATTTATGTATATATTTGTGTTATATTTTATATATGTTGTGTACTGGAGTCATTTGCACATTTTCTGCACTTTTTAGTTAGCAATTACTCTAACAATAAGTAATGCACTTACTTACACTTGCTACTAATATTGAAGAGGAGCTACATACATACTTTAGTTTGCTTAAGCATTAACAAATAGAATTTGCAAACTCGAGAAATTACCTCAGCGGCTAATGTGAGCCACTGTGTGTTGCAAAAGTCATTTAAAGGAAATCATGCTAATTGAAGATACAGGCATTTGATAAATTTTGCTCATATTTGGCAACACAAACCTACGTATGATGATTTTGACGTAACTTACTATTTTTGATTACTTAAGTAGGCGAAAAGCTAAAGCATTGAATTTTAGAGGGTTGGGCTAACTTGAATAATACTTAGAAAAAATTGGTTAGTTGACATTGAAATAATTTAATGTAGCTTTTTGAGTCATCGTTAAAAATCTTCAATGCCAATTTTTAAATTCGAATAGACTTTTTAACACAGCATCTGAAACAAAACTGTATTAGCATCATGCATTGTTTAAATAAACAAATATGAGAAAAGATAACTACGACAGATAAGAGAGTAAAGAACAAGTATGTATTTGTTGTTTAACGTTTAAATTTAAAACACTAGGCATGTCTTCCGTCCAAACTCTCTTTTTATTACATAGACATGATAAAACTCTACAACAACTGTGTATGCAACATTTAAAGTCATGCGGAGCATTTTCAAGGCAGTAGTACACTCTGCACTGGCGTAGAAATATATATTTTTTTAGAATACTAGCAAAGTAAAGTGACTAATGCAGGGCGAGCAAGTGTTCGCCATGACTATGATTAGGCGTGTAATGTACGGAGTGCCTAAGTTTACAAGACAATTATGGTAACTGTCTTTCAACTCACCGCAGTATTTTGAAAGATAAACGGCTTTCGTAGGATAGTTGTCAATTCTGGCAACTATCTTAAAAGCTCTTTTCTGTCTTTCGAAAAACTAATTAAAAGACTAATTAAAATATCTGCTAACGAGGAGGTCTAATCT